TCAAGAGTGAGAAATGGTGTCATGACTAGATGAATCAAGAGTGAGAAATGGTGTCATGACTAGATGAATCAAGAGTGAGAAATGGTGTCATGACTAGATGAATCAAGAGTGAGAAATGATGTTGTCATGACTAGATCAATCAATTCCCCTGGAAAGTTTTTTATTGTTTCACATCCTTCTAAAAATTTCTGTTATACTCTCAACAAAACAAACAAAAAGAATTATTAATTTACTGACATAATTCTGAATTTTTAATAACTGGTTGGAAAGTGAGATCGTTAGAATAATAAGACATGCTAACTTTGTTAAAAAGGATTTAGGTATGTTAGGTAGAGGCTAACACACACCGAGCCCACATCTGAAGGTAGCCATGTCTACACCTTGACAGTTCAAACTGTTACTTGGCACGTAGTTCAGTTAGTTTTATTATAAACATATAATTTTAACATTGTGAAAATGCCTATTGTTGTTCACTTAAGAAAGAAAAAAACTGTGTTATTATTTTACCACTCCCATATTTTGGGTGGCACTTAATCGAAAACACTCTGAGAAGAGAAAGTACAGGGTAAAACAAATAGTCAACCTTTTGCAGTTTATAATGCATCCCCGTATCTGTATTAATCAGTTGTATCTTACCTACAGTTATAAACATTTCAGTGAATTAACTTGTGTGTAATTGCATGTATGTGTTACAGTTTGTCTTATGAAATGCGACTCACCCACTGGAGGTTTACATTAGCCCTAATTTTATTCACTATATTTAATTTTTGAGTTGAGAATCTAATCTCAAGGACAGCTAGATTCCCTCCTTTCTTACTTATGTAGGTGGAATCCGACTCTTTTCCATTAATGGATACATGGGCATGCAAGTTTATGGACATAAGAATCAGTAAATAACTTACTGCTTAAGTACATCTAACAATAAGAGGTCAAGATTTACTCTCATTGTAAGGGTAAATGATTCTAGAATTCTAAGACATCTTCACTTGTCTGTGTGCTCCTTGATATGTTTGTTTATGTATCTCTTCTAGCTATCTTTCATTGATCATTGCTAAGCCTAACTGCAACACAAGTCATGCTAGGTACTGACCTAATTCATCTATTGTAACAATCCATGCATAAATATAAAAAACACAAACACACACACACTCAAATAAATGAATAAAATCAGAAGCACCTTTTGGTGGATATTTCAAAATTGTTCATTAAGTTTAATATGAATTATTAGTTACTTAGATAAAAGTCAGTGTTGATGAAATTTATCTTATATATATAGAAACCAAAACCTAAATAAGATTTACTTATAACAACTTTACAATTAATATAAACAAGCGAGTAACAAATACATTAATAATTTTGTTATTCAATGTTGGAATATAAAGCAGATCAGTCAAATTTTTTGATAACAGTGTTATCATGAATAAATAAAAAGTAACAAACCTATTCATAACAGTATGAGTAACGTGTTCACCTTCTTATTATAAATAAATGGACAAGCATTTTTGGTATTATGCAGTTACTTAGCAAAAATGTAACTGATGAAGAATGGGTAAGTGCAGGTAAATTAAGTGCATGGTCAGTACCTGGGGACTAGTAAGTGACGTCACTCCAAGCCTTACCCTGCCACCACGTGCAGCACTAGAGGTTGAACTGATGGAGCTGTTAAGTGACTCATGGCTCCCTGCACGACGGTGGAGAGGTAAACCCGTGCCCAAGCAAGGTCGAGATACTCTAGTTGATCCTGGACCCTTTCCTGCTTTTGCGAGTTTATGGATAGGAGCAAACAAGCCATACTTCCCTTTACATTCAAAGTATCTTGAAGGATAAAAGAAGAACAAAAAAGTACGAAACTTTAAAATACTATTACAAAAAACAATGTGGAGAGGTGTTTTTTTAATGAACAAGTTATGTCTTATAACTAAAGCATCAAATACACAATTTAAAGCCACTGACTGCTCATACTATTATTAAAAATAATGCTCCATTTTAATGCAGTATCTAATCAACAACAGACAATGAATCACACAAATTTCTCTTCAACTGCATAGGATACAGAGCAGTAGAAATCTTGTAGTAGTAGCTTATTAAGTCATAAGTCATTCTGTATCAAAGATTTATGTTTGTTCCTGTCAAATCAACTTAGTTGTACAAAGTAACGAAATACTTCTCAAAACACATTGACTGATTCTACTCTCTATCTTGTGATAACACTATTTATCTCCTTCAGCTCACTAACTAAGCTTTATGGATTGTTGTATTTGTAATTACACTTGTTCTAAGTATTTCTAGGACTTGCTTTTTCTTAATGTCACATGCCTATAGCTAATATATAAATTAAACAATTTACAACATAATATGCACATTATACTTATTAATTACTTTTTTTTTTATTAGTTATACTAGCAGAGACCCACAAAACATTTACAATCAAATTAGTATCTTTATTGCAACAGTACTTTTTTTTCAATACAGGATTTCTAGCATAATACAAATGAAGTCTAATTGCAGACACCAAAATCTACAAGTCCACTTGTCTTAAGCCTAACATTAGTTAAGCCTTTATTAAGTATGACTTATATTAGATAGAGATAAATTAACTGTAACTTGTGTATGTATTTTGCTTTAGTTTAGTTACGACTAAACTTTACTTAATACTATCGATAAATAAACTTACAATCTTAATCTATGACCTAACGTTAGACCTTTTTAAAAACTTTGATAATCTTTTAATATGTTGATATACTTATATCTGCCTTTCGTTTTACATCCATTGAAATGAAGTGTGTGCATATACGCACTTAGATTGCAAGTTGTGTGCCCATTATCATGACATACAAAAACTGAATATTATTATAATAGATTCCATGCTCCAATAAAAAGAGGTAAATGGCTGTTGACCAAAATGTAATAATATTTAAGAGCTTGATACTGTTAAAAAGCTATATTTACTAAATATTTTTTGGAATAAGCCTTTGAAGATGGGAAACTATAATCATGATTACTATAGCAACAAATGTAATAATAATAATGAATAAACAAGAAAATAATTATTTGAACACCTTTTTCCAGCTACTGAGCCATCATTTTTTCCTTGAGGTTCATCTAGTTCAATCCCTGCCCACTGTCCTGCAGCAAATTCTGTGGTTCCAAGGTAACGGAGGGTTCCTATCTTGATACCACTAGTAGCATTGACTATAACTCGATCTCCAACATTAACTACACCATCCATAGGAGAGGTGTTGCTGCTACCACCAGGGGGTGTTGTTGCATCCTTCACGCTTCCAGCTGGCGATGAACCAGGGAGTCGTGTGGTCGAACCTAATGATGGAGTTGTTGATGCTCTTCTTAAGCTTGACTGTAAAGTTCCGTTAGCTGGACTACTTGGGCTAGCAGGAAAACGGGACAGTCTGTAAGGACGAGCAAAAACTCCCCTATTGGATTCACACTGAAAGTAGCGAATGCCCCCAACAGAACCATCATTTTTACCGAGTGGTTCATCTAGTACTACACCAGCCCACTGTCCTGGAGCAAACTGGGTCTCTCCCAGAAACTGAATGTAACCACATTTAGTGCCATTCACCCAAACCTGGTCCCCAATGATGAAATCTTCTGTACTCTGGGCTAAGGCATCAGAAGCATCTGATAGAAGACAAAATTTGTTCATCAGGCTATAGAAAAATTCATGGCCAAATTTTAATAATCTATATCAAAGTTAAGTATTCATTTGAAAGATATACAAAATTAGCAGTGAATTGTTGATTTTGTTTTCAGTAACTTAATGTATTCTTAATTAATATCTTCAACCACTGATTTGTGCACATAGTGTCAAAGGTTACATATCAAACTGATTACTGAGACACACACACTCTCTGATCTCCTCCAGTTTAAGTTACTTAATGCCAATTACTGAGATTATCCATGTATAAGATACTGAATTAGTCAGATTATCCATGTATATGACACTGAATTACTGAGATTATCCATGTATAAGATACTGAATTAGTCAGATTATCCATGTATATGACACTGAATTACTGAGATTATCCATGTATAAGATACTGAATTAGTCAGATTATTGACTAATTCAGTATCTTATACATGGAGATTATCCATGTATAAGATACTGAATTAGTCAGATTATCCATGTATATGACACTGAATTACTGAGATTATCCATGTATAAGATACTGAATTACTCAGATTATCCGTACACAAGACATTATTTACCGAGATTATCCATTTTAAAACGATATACTGAGATCTGCTATATTTCATTATAAGTTTAAGTTTCACTCCAATCAGAGTTTAAAATATGTCAACTAGGTTATGATTTGGGGGGAGGGGGAGATGGGCTTTTGAAACTAATTATAAACAATGTATGCATAAAACCTTTTTTTATATTTATTTCTCCCTTCCCGATATGTTTTATTACGTCACAGCAGAGATACATGCTGTTTTTCTATTGTTTCTTCTTTCAAACACTACAGTCGACAGCCATTCATTCATTTTCTGGGCGGATTGACTTGAAACTTGGTAGGGTTATACCTTTGGTTCAATACGCCCAAAACCTTTTTCATTTTTTTTTATTTAGGCCTTTTTTAAGGATTTTATGGGGTGAAAGATCAAACAACCGAAACCTTGTATTTTAATTGTTTTTTTACGTGTCGTTAAGGAATTTGTAGTGTCGATTTTTCATCACAACAGCATTTAGCACTGGTTTATAGGCACTTTAGGTGAGAAATGAATGACATAACTCGGAAATGTGGGCTGACTTTGAAGAACTTCAACCCACACGTCATATCTCTTAGTGCTGAATTTGGCTGGATTCCACGAAGGCAGAGGGCAACAGTGAAGTCACCATCGACCCCCCTTTTCTCGTGACTAAGGCAGAGACCCCCCCCCCCCTTTTCTCGTGACTATCATAAAGAGTCATGTTACCGCTCTTTAATTAATCAATTATTTCAACTTAGAAAATGTAGTGTAATATTAAATTCACGGAAAAAAAAATGAAAATTACAAAATAAAATAAAAATTAAGCGGAAATGCTAAACTACAAATCCAAACGGGCCGTGAAGGCGTACAAGAGACGTTTTGTGGTCTTACAGATAGAAGAAGGACACGCGTACGGGAAGGAGTCGCTGATTATAATTATCATTACGGCGGTATCCACGAAGACACGCGCTCGTGCTCGCGTGGTAGGTTAGCACAGGCTCGTAGAATACTAGGAGTCTAAATTTGCACCACCACCCTTCTTTTTGTTAAAGAAACAAAATGGAGGCTACTGTTTAAACAGTCTTTCATTTTTCAGTGCAAGACATGGGTGCTTAACCTCGTACCAACATCACGTATAACCAACATCCTGTCAACGAGTACCTAAACTAAAGAAAACAGTCAAACCAACTTCCAGAACTGAGCTTGTCGGTTATTAGCCTGAAGTTCGGAGTAGAACAGCGGCATAAAAAAAAAAAAAAAAAAAAAAAAAA